GGGCAAGGGGAGATTGGAGTCCCCCCCATCACCCCCATCCGCCCCTTCTTCTCCATCCCTCGTGGCCTATCCTCTGGAATCGTCCTGTAGCAGGACCCGTCGTGTAGGTTGGCAAGTTTATCCCGAGCGCCTTGCCCTGCCTGCGGATCCACGGTGCGGTTGTTCCGTCCAGCGCCCCAGCGTCCAGATCGGGGGTAAACGGGGCGGGGGGGCGGGGGCGGAGATGCCGGACAGGTGACGGTGGCATTGGGAGCAGAAAATGTCTGCTTGATGATAGCGGCGACCTCGGTTTGAGCTGTAAAATTGTGACGATTAGACATGTGCGCCGACTAGACCTTTGTCGGCGGCGGCGTGAGGCCAAATTTTGGTCAACGGCGGCGGCGCCGCCGGCGTTCACGCCGATGTGGTAGTCGTCGGCGGCGGCGGCGGCGTCACCGGCGTAAACCCAAATAAATTGCACCTTTTAACGATTTCGGGGGTCAGATTTGCCTTCTCATAAGATATCCTAACGACTTTTTGCTCACCAGAATTTCGTGCCAATTATTCTTCGCAAAATTCTACTAAAATTGTTTAACTGCTTTAAAATTTTGAGCTGCTAAGCAGGTTGCCTACCCATCCGGCGTCCCCAAGTTGGGTTTTAGAATCGAAAATGACCCTTTACAGCCTCTACGCCGACGCCGCCGCCGATGAAATGGTCGGCGGCGGCGCGGCGGCGCGCCGACAATTTTTTGCCGGCGGCGGCGGCGCGCTGAAATTCGTCGGCGGCGGCGCAACGGCGGCGCGGCGCACATGTCTAGTGACGATGTGGAAGGGTCGGGGTGTCGCCGCGCTGTGCGACGGCGCGGCGCCGACGTCCTCCGCGATGTCGTTTGGATGGCGGACAGATGCACGAATGGTCAAGACGGACGGACACGCGGTCCGGTCGTCAACCGCATCACCAGAGTGAAGGGGAGAGAAACAGGAAAAGGGAGGCGATGCATCAGATCACCCGTCACGTATAGCGAAGTGCTGCACAATGTCACACACGGATCAGCCAGACCGCGCGGCGGGGCGGGGAGGGGCTGGACGGGGCGGGTGGGGGAGGGGGCCCTAGGAGGGGGGTGCCGGCTCCGGCGTCGCCCCCCGGACCCCCGGAGCCGCCGTACTTCCTCCGGCCCAACTTGCAAGGCGCGTATAAAGGCTCCGCTGGCCGCCGAGGAGTGCATTGCTTCGGCGACCGCGTCCAACGCCGTCCACACCTCGCCTCCCCCAACGTGTGCACCGCGAACACCATGTGCCGCCCCAGGACCGCGGTACGGACCAGTGCAAGTGCAGTGTGTGTGTGTGTGTGTGTGTGTGTGTGTGTGCGTGTGTTGTCGTCGTCTGAAGATCGCACCTCGCCGACCGCCCTCGACACGGATTACAGTGAAAATACGCTTCTCAGTGCGAAGTGTCGTATATCGCAACGCCGTCGATAGAAACATCGTTTCGGCATCGTGGCGGTGGCGTGGTCAGAAATGACGTGTCGAGACGATATATCGAAACGCTGTCGATTCGATGTCGTGTTGAGTGGGTTTAAAACTGACCCCTTCATGTGTGCTTGGCTCTGCCCGCAGGTGCTGCTGCTGCTGGGCGCGCTGTGTGCGGCCGTGCCGCTGCACGCCAAGACCGCCGAGTCCGCCGCCGCGAGGGACAGGCGCGCGCTGCTCCCGAGTAAGATGAGCTTGGCGATGTGTTGAACACCAGGGTGGTGACCTGCCCATGGAGGTCCCAGACTCACGAGTTGTTCTTGTTCTTCCTCACGAGCAGGTAGCCCCAGCAACTCGTACCTGCCGCCCACTGCAGGCGCCGGACCCGGCGGCGCACCTGGTGCTCGCGGACCCCAGGGTGGCTTCCCTGGTGCACCCGGCGCTGGTGCCTTCCCTGGCGCACCGGGCGCTGGTGCCTTCCCTGGTGCACCCGGCGCTGGAGGCTTCCCTGGAGCTAATGCTGGCGGGGTCCTCCCCGGTGCTACCCCCAGTGGCTCGTATGGCGTACCTGGCGCTCGAGGCCCTGGCGGCCTCAATGGACCTCAGGGTGGCTTCAACGGGCCGCAAGGTGGCTTCAACGGGCCGCAGGGTGGCTTCAACGGGCAGCAGGGTGGCTTCAACGGACCACAAGGTGGCTTCAACGGCCCCCAGGGTGGTTTCAACGGACTCCAAGGCGGCATCAACGGTCCGCAGGGTGGTGTGAACGGTCCTCAGGGTGGCTTCAACGGACCTCAGGGTGGCTTCAACGGACCTCAAGGTGGCTTTAACGGACCTCAGGGTGGCTTCAACGGACCTCAGGGTGGTTTGAACGGACCTCAGGGTGCTGTTAACATTGGCGGACAGCAGGGTCTTGGACGCCCGGCGGACTCCTACATTGCCCCCGGCGGTCCCGGGTCCAACAACCTCCCGGGTGCGCAGGGTCAGGGCCGCTTCCCTGGTTCCGCTCTCGGCCAGCCGGGCTTCAACGGAAACAACGTCAACGGGGGTCTTGGTCAGCCCGGATTCAACGGCAACAACCTCGGCGCTGGTCTCGGCAGGACGTACGGAGTGCCGACTCCCGGACAGCAACTGAACGGCGCCGGTGCGTTCGGTCCTGCGCGTACGCTGCAGTCACCCAGCAACCAGTACGGCACGCCTAACAACGGTCAGCCGGGTGCCTTCCCAGGACAGCAGGGTGCCTTCCCCGGTCAGCAGGGTGCCTTCCCAGGACAGCAGGGTGCCTTCCCCGGTCAGCAGGGTG